ATATATATAGATAATTTGGTTTTAATTTAATTTTTCTAATAGGTATTGGTACTCTATGTTATTTTAAATGTGTCGGATTTTTTTTAGCTATTTAGTTATTTCTTTGCATTGTCACTAAATTTGTTCAACGTGTAGTAAAGCACATAGCGTTTTGACCAATAACTTTTTTTTAACATAATTTTCTCAAACAAGTAGGCCCTATAACATTAAAATATATAGGTAGGCCTATAATTCCCGTGTAACGGGTACCGACGGCTAATATAAATAAATATATATATATATATATATATATATATATATATATATATATATATATATATATATATATATATATATATATATATATATATATAAGCCAACTGTCAAACCGGTGAAACATTGATCACTAGCTCAGCGTACCGTTAAAGGAGAATGTATCATGAATTGCTCACATTCATGATACTAGCCGCTAGACATGTGTGTTTTAACACAGGACTTTCGAGTGAACGGACAAGGCGGAACAATTAAAGTCATACGACAAAAAAAACATACCAAAAATATTATACGTCTACATTTTAATGGGTAGTCAAAATAAAAAGTTAGTAAATTTGAGGCTGATATAAATGCCATATAGTATTATCAACTTACTAAAAAAATGAAAGTCGGATTATTACTTTAAACAATAATGCCTTTAAGTTTTATAAACTAGTATAAAAATAAACTCCTCAAATTTATCCAATAGCAATATTTTACTATTATCAACATGTAAATTAAATTATTTTCTGTTACTTTTTTACCGTGAAATTTTTGTTTGTTTATGGTTTGTTTTTCCTTTCTGGCTATCTTCTGTTAAATTGTTCATAACAAAAACTGTAACATTTTTTTTTTCCTGTCACTGGTTTTTCCACTAATCCGCTAACAACTCCCGTTCTCACCCACACCCAAACCAACACTTACTGCTAGCTAATTAATATTTTAAAACTCAACATTTTGTAAAAACAAAATTATAAATACTACGCTTTCAGCTTAAGATTGATAGTTAAAATTAATCTTTCTCTAAAAAAATAACCCTTCGAATGTTATCTGATTAAAGTATTCTGAAGTAATGTTTTAATCTATGACTGATGGCAGACAAAAACATGGCAGACACATGAAGCAGGTGAAATTAAAGCTTTAAAAAAATTTCAGTCGTTAAATTGTGGTTTCTACACAATTTTTATATGATCTTCATGTCTGCTGTATATACTGCAAATTGTATATTCTGAACTCTTTTTTTCCCATACGTTTAGGATACAAGAACCAAAGCAGGACGCTGGTTATATGCAAATAAACAACAAAGTTATATAATTTCGGCTTATAATGTGATCAAGCTGTAAATGTGCATAAACACTCAATTTTAGCATATTTAACATCCTATCAATACATATATTGCAGCAAAAACGTTTACTTTTGTATTAATTTTGTATCGTTTTGTGTATGTATATCATGTCTATAAGTAATATATATATATATATATATATATATATATATATATATATATATATATATATATATATATATATATATATATACATGGTTCCATGACAAATGATCTCAGGAAAAAGGATCTCAAAGACAAATGATCTCACGGACAAAAGATACTAGGAAAAAATATATCAGGACAAATGATATGGACAAATGATCTCAGACAAAATATTTCAGACAAAATATCTGACAGAGAAATTTTAATATGTATGATGATTTTTGTTGATTTGAACTTTTTTATTGCCTGTGCATATGGTTTTGTTTACTTTTTTACGCATAATAATTGTGAATAAAGTGATATTTGTTAAACCTAACAGGCCATCAAAAGAATTATTGAATTTTGTAGAGCATTTGATTAGAAAAAGTAAAAATTATAAACCACTTACTCCTTTAGCCTGAAAGGTATAATACATGATAATGCTTAAAACAAATAAAGTAACGATAGTTGAACAACATTAAGCTTCAAAACACGCGAAATATTTATGAAAAATGTGAATCATCAACACAAACATAACGTTACGTTTCATTGCTGACAAGTACATCAATATGATCATACCTCTCTAATACTATGTGATCATCTATTGTGTGAACTCTTGCTCGACATGTCCTAATTTCACATTTCCAAATCTCTTTGCCTGCTTATGGCAAACATAAATTCATAAGCAACAAATGTCCAAAAACCTTTTTGAGTGGTAACGAAAAAGGCCATAGCTGAGTAATCACCACTAATTATGCTTTGTTTGATGCACACTACGACAATCTTAGCTCCGTGATGACCGCTGTTTGTTTAAATAAGCATTTTTCACCGGATCGTTAAGGTGTGATCAACGTATAAATATGGACTGCAGATGCTATTTTTACTATCCCTTTGTGGATGTCTTTCCCTTAAGGCATGTGTCTGCCATCAAAGCGGGCGGCCACCTTGACATGAAGGTGTACCTTTATTGTTATTCCATCCTCTTTAATCTAGTTTCGTCCACCTAACATGGCAGGATTGTCTCATGTTTGGCGAGCCCAACTACGCTGTCTATCGAAATAATTTCTTTAATATTCGCATACTATATTACTAATACTAACTTTAAAATGTTTAGTGAAATATGAAAAATTTATACGACAGACATTTCTTACATGTATTATATATGCATATAAACAATATTTAACATAGTAAACAAAACCATATGACAATCAATAAAATAATAATAATATAATATTTTACAATTATATATATATATATATATATATATATATATATATATATATATATATATATATATATATATATATATATATACTGAGTTTATCTATGTGTTTATATCTGTATGCTGAGACAAATGTTATGCAAATCAATTTGGGTAGCTGGAAATAATTTATGATCGTACAATATGATAAGGAAAAAAACAAATACTTTTATTTAATGGTTATCAGATATTTTGAGTACTTGTATAAGAATATATCACCCGCACGACCAAGTTTAAAAACCCAACGTCTATTTTTTTTCAAATGAAATATTTGATGTTAGTAATTAGCATAACGCATACCAGAGCATCATGTCAACACTGAAATAAAAGTGTGTTTTAACATATGAAAACAAATATATATATATATATATATATATATATATATATATATATATATATATATATATATATATATACATATATATATATATATATATATATATATATATATATATACATATATATATATATATATATATATATATATATATATATATATATATATATATATATATATATATACCGTTTCCGGTTAAATTTGAAGTTGAGTTGGTGACTGTAGTTTTGGTTTAGAGAAATATTTAACACTATTAACCTAGCGCCCGTTGTATCTCTCCCTCAACGGGCCATTTATCTGGTATTAAAGAAGAATTATTAAAAAATGATTTTACTAAAGTGTTCCTAGATTTTTAAAAATGCATAAAATATGTTACAGTAACAAGCTTTAAGTTAATAATGAACTACAAATGAGAATGGGGGTGGGGGCTTTAGGGAAGTACCTATATAGAAAATATATACTTATATTCTTGTCCAAAAATCGAAAGATTTAGTATGTCCACCAACCCCCGAAAATTTTAAGTACTACCCCCACTCCCACCAACCCAACCCACCCAGGAAAAAGTGTTTGAAAACAATGGCTGTCTGCATGATTAGATTAGAGATGTAGGGTCTACCTTTAGTCTGTATGTTCTGCGACCAGTGTTTCTTTCAGACTTTTTACTCCATGTAGTTGGAAACTTGAAATTCCTGGGGGCGGGGCGTGGAAGTGTTACGACTAATTATTTTCCGAAGTCAAATATAATATAACGAGCCGACCCCCGCCGCTATTTAGTTGTTTTATTTTCTACTTTTCAGTTATTTATAATTTGTGAATTCGACAGTATCACTGCTGTCACTGAAAATATTTGCTTTAAAACACTATCAGTAAGTCGTTAAGGACGATAACCCCCCCCCCCCCCCCGCCGTGAAAGCAGCCTCCTCTTAGCTACCTCTCATAAGTTTAAAATCGTTTCAAACTAAATTATCTGCCCCTAATAGCCGTCACTAAACCCGGCTCTACGAGTGTAAACATTTAGCGTGAACCACAGCTCACCTGACTTCCTAGAGAGGAAGAGAGGGGACTGCAAGGCGCGCTTACAGCTTGTTTTCTAACGTCTCCAAGAAGAGAATTATATATATAGATTTCCATATACATTTTAACTTGTCGTAAAGGCGGAGGGTCGGTGGTGGACGTTCTGAAGAAACTTTTAATGTGACCTTTATCAATGGTCAACTTAGACGTAATCTGCGACTATATTTACTAAGAATGTGCAGCAAAAAGTGTAGATCAAGGTTAACAGATTAATTATTAAGGATGAATAATTAATCTCTATCAGCTTTACAAAATCAGTAATTCTCAATTAACTTCGAGTTAAATCAGCTTTCGATAACGAGTTAATAGGAATCGGTTCAGATGAATAAATTTTTACCACAAAGTTAACCATTAGCTTTAAATGTTTAACAGAAGTCTAACCTTAATGTCTTAGAGCAGGGGTCTCCAAACTATGGCCTGCGGGCCAGATGCGGCCCGCGATGTCCTCTCATCCGGCCCGCGGAGGTCTTTTTGTCCACGGAAAAAACGTTTGTTGGTGATGGCTGTGGAACTTTGCCCAGAAAAATCAAGAAGAAACTGGCCCCCGAACTGAAATTTGATTGTTAATGCGGCCCTCGGATTGAAAAGTTTGGAGACCCCTGTCTTAGAGGACTAGAATTTTCTCCGATCCAAGAGTTGCGCCGTTCTGCGGTTTAAAAACGAGTGAAGTCCCCTGGGCGGCAGTGCGACATTTCACTAACAAACCGTTAGCGTGCGGATGATTTGGATTCTATGAGTTTGGCGGGGCACGTGTTGCGGGGTAGTCGATTTTTAAACACCTGTCGTCTGCTGAGTCATTGCATACAACACGAGACTTGTTGTTTTCCAAACGTGACAAATCGACTTGGTGTTCGACAACATATGCTGTTCCTATCTGCACCATCAGTGATTAAAGTAAAAATTAATTGGACAACAGGGAGTCTGATTGTTTTGTTATCACAAGTAAGTTGCTTTTGTTATGAATTGAACTCACAGTCTTGTATTATAGGGGCGCAGTTGTATTGTAATATTATGACGGTTTCTAGTTTGCAAAGCTTGTAACACAATATAAAGTCTGTATTATGACAGAGTGGTTTGTAGCTAGAGCCCGTGACTGTTAAGACAGATGCTCTGATCCCTTGTTCTGGTCCATCAAGCTCTAATCAACGCTTAACATAAGGTAGGGAAACTACAGATTTTTTTTTTTGCATAAAACTGACCGCATTATAACTACTAGTGCCAAATTTCACAGAAAATATTGAACTCTTCATCACCTGCGCTAATGATCGTTGAGGCACCGAAAGTTGTCTTATTTACTAAGGTTTACTTGTATATCAATATTGACATAGAGTGTTATTTTAAAGCGTTAATACATATATATATAGATATAATGCATCGTTTGTTTTAGTAATGATATTATTTTTTTACAGGATGTGTAAAGATTCTTACAGAAGAATTATGTCAAAAATAGAGACTGCATATTTCTTTAGTCACTATTGTCTAATTATTCATTTATTGGTTTACCTGATGTTGAAGGTGTTCCTCTAACTAAAATTGTACACTTAGAAAGTGATATAGAGACAACATGCTTATTTATTGGTTTGGAGCTATATACATTATTATAAGATATACATTCATAAGCTGAACATAAAATGTAAACTAAAACACGTGAATGCTCTCTTGTATTTGTAAGAAATATGAATTGATCAATTTATTTTTTAGCCCAAAGACTTATGAGTGCTCAAGATTATTTTATTTTACATCATAGATAGAGACTGTTAATTTAATGGATGAAAGTGCACTATTACTAGATCTACATTGCACAAAGATTCCATATAAAACTTGCAGACTTTGATACAGCAGATATAAACCATTGGCTTCTAACAGTAATTTTTTTGGTATCATTGCACTGGACCAAGATCTAATGAGGACCGAATGTCAGGATAGTAGATATGTTTGAATTTCTTTCCTATCAACAAGTTTGAATAGTCAAAAACCACTTTGCATTTAGAACAATGACAAGTTGAAATTATACTTGATAGAGGTCATGCTGAACAAACTGAGACTACGTATTGACTGGCACGATAAAAAGATTCATGATTAGTAAGACATGACATAACTAGTAATACTGATGTGGTGCGAAACATTTAAATTGCTTTCTTGAAAATGAATTTCTAATGAATTTTCTAATTTCCTGATGTGAGAAAAATAAGTGTATTTCAAAAATCAATAATTACGAAATAAATTTATCTTTTTTTCTATGTTTAAATATTTTAACCTATCGTTAAATAATGTAGCAACATTGCTACATTCTGTTATTTTGCAAAATAAACATTGTTTGATTCAATAATTCACTTTCCTTATTATTTATGCTCTCTAATCACCACAGCCTACCGTGTAAGATTTTGTTCAGAAAAAGCTGTCACAAAATTCATTAATGTAATGAAGAGTTTCACAAGTTTTATTACAAATTTGACAATATTTTATCGGCTTGAAAATTTATATAATAGAGAACAACCAGTTAATAATTTTTTAAGCATTATATACGCCAGAAATGAAAATCAATTTAACAAATACGTTTAACTTACTATTCTCTATATGGATTTTAGTTTGCTGAATTTAAACCAAAGGTGATGATATTAGAAACATTGTGTTCATTTTAAAAATATTTGTACGTCTCTTTCAAACATTGGTAACAAAACTACACTATTTATATACTAGGAATATACTATGTATCTAATATTTATATACTATTTATATACTATTTAGATGCTTTTATTTATTTATTTATCGAACGCGGAGTCTAATAATTATTGTTAATATAAGGGCTCCCGGTCAAAAACCCTCTGGACATATCCCCTGGACATAAACCCCCCGACATAAACCCCCTGGACAAAAACCCCCCGCGATATAAACCCCTGGACAAACCCCCCCCCCCCCCCCGCGATATAAACCCCCTGGACAAAACCCTCCCAATTGAGGAAAAATCAAACATGATGAGAAACAAAATTAATACAAAAATACAAAACAAACATTAGAAAAAAACTTGTATTTTTATTATAACTTACGTGCTGCTTCCGTTTCTTCTGCCAGTTGTTTCATCTGCTGCACTACTTTACACACTTCCAGTTGAGATGGATCTGGTCCATGCGAATGTTCATTACATCGTTCAACAAGCTGTTCACCATGAGACTTTATTTTTGCTTTGCATTCTGCCTTGTTGCCTTGTTGCGTCTTTTGGAACACTCAAATGACACAACGCCGTTCGCCAGATCTTTTTGCTTTACATAAACATAGCCTTCAAAAATCACCTTTAAATTTCCTTTATTGGATTGAACGAACTCCATTCCAGAAAATATACGATTGTTGAGAAATAAATTTGATTTTATATTAATACCATGGTTCTGTATGTCAAGGTGTATATGAACCAAGCTTCCGCCGGTGAATCCCTGACATCTTTTGTTAATTCTTAAGAATGTGTTGCTTTGATCCACACGGCTCCCACATGTGGATGACCTATATCTAAGGTGTTGTCGGTGTCCGATCTTTGATCAAATACAACTAAGGTCACTCCTTGATTTCGAAAAGCATTTTTTTAGGTAGAGACTATTTTCTTAGTCGTAAAACATTAATTTAATGTAATTTTTTAAAATTTCTTGGTTCACATCATCGTTATTTTTTCTTTATATAAACTTCAGTCCGGGGGTTATTATCCGGGGGGCTTATATCGCGGGGGGTTTCTGTCCAGGGGGTTTATGTCGCGGGGGGGGGGGGGGGGTTGTCCAGGGGGTTTATGTCGCGGGGGGGGGGGTTTGTCCAGGGGGTTTATGTCGGAGGGTTTATGTCCAGGGGTTTTTTGTCCAGGGGTTTTTTGACCGGACACCGATATAAGTAGGCTACGTATTCATCCTGTGTTACCAGCTCATTAAATACGTTCGTTTTATTTGGTCTGCGATATGTTTGTTCAAAGAAAAAAATAGTAATGTTCATCTTGTTTTATTATTAATAATTTTGTTTCAATTACAGATATATAACTATACCTATATCACCTTAAAAGTTGTATCAAGATGAAGTTTGCAAAAGTTAACATCGCAGCCATACTGATTATGTGCATATCATACGCACAGGGTGAGTCTATTGCGATCGCATGCAGTTAGAAAAATAGTTGAAATAGTAAAATAAACTGAAACAAACGTAACCAATTCAACGTTCTAGTCTAGCAGTATAAAGAACGTCTCGAGATTTGCGAAAATCTCAACGCATTACACCTCCATGAGTTGGAAAAACATAGTTTTGCAATTTTGTCCGTATGTTTGTGTGTTTATGCATGTGTATGTCTGTGATCACGCTTTCCGTTAGAGCTAGGTTTATGAAATTTCATATAAAAGTAAAATATCAAATTTGTAGTTCTGTAACAACTTTTCATCGATTTCCGGAAACCGGAAGTGGAAGTTATTCTTTTTTTCGATTTTCAAAAGCCTACAATTTAAGTAGTGATTAATAGATAAACGGAATTTGAAACATGGTTGAAATATCTAATTCTTTGCCTTCCGTCAAATTTTGAAAAATTTCCGTTGACCGTAAGCTGTACTTTACTAAATTTCAGAATTCATGTCCATATCCCGAGTTGCCATCTCCAGTAGTGTTATATAAGAATTTTCGATACAGTTAGAGGATATAACTCCTGGTTTATTTACATTGAGACAGATTTTGGTGTTTGCAATTCTAGATTTCTAGTTATTAAAGGGTTTATTAAGTTCACTAAAATGTTGCGGCACCGCAAATCTTGCAATGTTACTTTAACTCTCTTCTCATTGTCCGATTAGATTTAAATTTTGCACACCTGTAGAGTTTAAGTGACATGCAAGACTATGTAATTTGTATCTAATTTAAAAAAAAGATTACTATATTCTAAATAAAAGCTGAGATAACAATACATAATTCTAGAGAAATACTTAAATAATTCGAAGTCTGGAACAAGCAATCGGGGGATTTTTACTATTAATCTATTTTGTGTCAACCTTGTTTCAAACGAATAAGTAACAAGTGAAAAATTATTCTCACATACAGTGTTTATTGTATGGTAAAATGATTTTATTATATTAATTTTAAAAAAGCATAAAAAAGGAACAAAAATATATCAAAGCTTATTTAACCTTCCAAAGCAATATGCTGGTAAAACTAAACATCAAAAGCCTGTCAGCACACTTCCTCTTCTTAATCCCGTTCGTGACCAAGACACATGTGGCAGATGAAGTAGAGTTTATTTGATTTATTGACCTCGGCATTTGAAGGGATAGTGGTGTTAGCACTTTTCCCAGCCGCGACCGCTTTGAATCCGGATTCGAACTCGAGATTCACGGCAAGACTTAGCTCTCTAACGCTAAGCCATGTCGTCCCCGTGAGATCTCATGGTAAGAATATATTTTCTTTCTTGGGGAGGTCATTGACAGACTTTCTTTACATAACGTACTATATAAGACCTATGTCTAGTTTTAATTATTGGACGCCCTGACTTTTATTTTTAGTCATACAAGCATACAGCTTTAGTTGCGTCACAGCAAAATAATTTTTTAATCCAATTTGTTAGTACATTTTTGCATATGTATTTTTTTGTTGTTGCTGTAATTTGTGAAGACAATAAACGCTTTTATATTTATTTTTTTATTTGTGAAAATTTTAATCATTTTATTCAAGAAGCAGCCACATTTAAAAAAACATTAAAACCAAGTTATTTTTTAAACAAAATATTACAGACTTACCTTAATAAAATCTTAATAAAATCATATTCTTAAACCTCCATTTTTTTAGAAGATACATGTAGCGTGATTTGCCTATAATAAAATGGTTTATTGTATTGGAAAATTGATTTTGTCTATTGCTGTGTGTCAATTTCTGTTATTTCGGGCGGTACAACGTTATTAAGATAGTCGGTACTTCTGAAAAGCTAAAATAAAATTGACAGTTATTAAATTATCGTAAGGGAAGTTGCTGTTATGAAGTAGAATAAACTCATAGTATCGAGACATAATATACCGACAATAACAATGAATGCTACTTTATTTTAGCCCAGTGTAGCTGCAAGCAAATTACAACGGTGGTCAATGGACAAAATGTGTCTTCCTGCAAGCCGTTCGAATTGTACTTCACAGCTTCTTCTTCTAAAAGTAATGGTGAGAATATCGATATTTTAAAATTGATAAATTAATCAACATATATGTAAAAATAATTTTAAAAATTAGAGATGTATTTCGTCCTAATAATAAGAAAATTACCTACTATTTTAAGATTCACAATAATTAAGGCAAATACAATTAATAGCAAACATGACACCTGAAATATATTATCGTAAATTTTTATAGGAAGTAATATGTATGTTATTAATTACTTTATAAAAGCCGCTTACCAATTCCTTTACAAAGGAAACCATGATAAAATAATCACATAGTTTCCCTCATTATACTTTAGGTTAGAAGTAATCAGAATATTTATAATTTGTAATATCAACTTGCAATATACTTCGTGTAAATCAGAATATTTTTTATTTACCAATATCAACTGAGTAGTTGCAGTAAGCTAAGGGAAGTAAAGTTTAATTTAGGAGCTTTAACTCCTAGATCGGTTGGTTTTCCAATGTAAAAACATCGTAAAATTATATGGTAGGACCGTTTATACATGCTTAAGCGATCACACATTATTTCAAGTGGACCAATTTTGCAGATGATCCGGATTATTGTGACTATGAGCTTCTGTTATAAGCAAATATCGTTTATAGGTAATTTGCTATTGTGTGTTACGGTATCATTGCGATAGTTCTTTTGCCGCCCTACTAAAATACACGTTTTTAGATTTTTAAAAGATTGTTTATGTTTTGCGTATTGTACTAGTCGAAAATTGTGATTGGCCAGCTGGAAATAAGATATTACGTAAACAAGTGTAGAGCACACATTGTTTGATACACATACCTGCTTTCTATGGTTCAAATTTTTTCAGACATTGACGAATGCAAAGCTCAGCCAAGTCCATGTGAACAGGTTTGTACGAACACCATGGGAAGCTACACCTGCTCATGTAATGCTGGATATGTCATTAGTAGAAAAGACCCTAGGCGGTGTGACGGTAAGTCTCCGAATTAAAACATTTATATTTCCTCAGAAAAATTATACTTTTTCAAATAGGCCTACATATTTAACACGGCTCCATAGTACTTTTTGTCTGAAACTTAACTTCTAGACATCGATGAATGCAGCGCTCAGCCAAGCCCATGTCAACAGATTTGCATCAACACAGTCGGAAGCTTCACTTGTTTATGTAGACCTGGATTCGTCGTAAATACAATGGACCCAACAAAGTGTGATGGTAGGTCATCGAAGAAACGTAACTCAACATTTATTTTTTAAAATGTATAATAATTATCGATCTCGTGTTAAAAGGGGAAAACGATAAAGAAAACAAATAGTTTACTGTGTTTTACGTAAGATTGGTATTTATCGGTGAGTATAAGTACACACACACGCCAATATATATATATATATATATATATATATATATATATATATATATATATATATATATATATATATATATATATATATATATATATATATATATATATATATATATATATATATATATATATATATATATATATATAATATTTATAAAATATTTTTATATTATTTTTATATTTTTATAATATTTTCATAATATTTAGATAATATTTATATAATATTTAGATAATATTTATATAATATTTAAATAATATTTATATACTTTATATATACCATTTATATACTATTTATATACTATGTATATACTATTTATATACTATTTATATACTATGTATATACTATTTATATACTATTTATATACTATTTATATAATATTTATATATTATTTATATACTATTTATATACTATTTATATTCTCTTTATATACTATGTATATACTATTTATATACTATTTATATTATACTTATATAATATTTATAGAATATTTATAAAATATTTATATAATATTTAGATAATATTTAAATAATATTTAAATAATATTTATATACTTTTTATATACTATTTATATACTATTTATATACTATTTATATACTATTTATATACTATTTATATACTATTTATAAAATATTAATATATTATTTATATAATAATTATGTAATATTTATATACTAGTTATATAATATTGATATAATATTGATATAATATTGATATAATATTGATATAATATTGATATAATATTGATATAATATTGATATAATATTGATATAATGTCATGTCATGTTTGCCTGTCGTCCCTACTGGGACATAGGCCGCTGACAAGAGCTTTCCAGACGTCTCTGTCCAGGGCTAGTCTCTCCAACTGCCCCCAGGTGTATCCAATCTTCTTGGTGTTTTCTTCCAGGTCACGTCTCCAGGTCTTTCTTGGTCTGCCTTTCTTCCTCCTGCCTTGTGGATTCCACATGAGGGCCTGTCTTGTTATGCTGGATACAGGCTTCCTGAGTGTGTGGCCAATACATTTCCATTTTCTCTGGAGGATCTCTACTTCCACTGGCAGTTGATTTGTCCGTTGCCATAGAACATCATTTCTGATGGTTTTAGGCCAGCGAATTCGCAGGATCTTTCTGAGACATGCGTTTATAAATGATTGTATTTTCTTCTTATTTATAGCAGTTATTCTCCATGTCTCGGCTCCATAGAGTAAAACAGGTTTTACTAGTGTGTTGAAGATCCGGATTTTTATTCTAAGGGTTAAATCTCCCGAACCCCAAACATTTTTTAGTTGGTTGAAGACTGCTCTTGCCTTACCCGTCCTTATTTTTATGTCTGCTTCTGTCCCACCCTGCTTATCAACAATACTTCCAAGGTAGGCGAATCTATCCCCTTCTTCTAGGGCTTCTTCTGCCAGTGTTATAGGGTTGTTGTTTGATGCAATGACTTTGAGAACTTTACTTTTCCCTCTGTGGATGTTCAGACCCAGGCTTGTAGAAAAATTTGCAACCCGTTTGGTTTTATCCTGCATTTGCTGTTGTGTGTGAGAAAGGAGGGCCAGGTTGTCAGCAAAGTCCAGGTCATCCAGCTGGCTCCACAATGTCCACTGTATACCGTTTCGCGTTTTCTCTGTTGACATCTTTATAACCCAGTCTATGGCCAGTAGGAACAGGAATGGTGAAAGTAGGCAACCCTGCCTTACTCCGGTCCGTACTGGGAAGGCCTCTGTAGTCTGTTGGCCATGCACTACTCTACATTTGAGACCTTCATATGAAGACATAATAATGTTGACTATTTTCTGTGGCACCCCGTAGTGTCTCAACAATTTCCACATTGACTGCCTATCCAGGCTATCAAAGGCCTTCTCATAGTCTATGAAATTAATATAGAGAGATGAGTTCCACTCTTGGGTCTGTTCAATGATGATGCGCAGGGTAGCAATTTGGTCTATGCATGACCTTTCCTTCCTAAAGCCCGCCTGTTGATCTCGAAGCTGGGGATCTATGGCTTCCTTCATTCTGTTTAATAATATTCTGTTGAAGACTTTGCCTGGGATGGACAAAAGTGTTATCCCTCTATAGTTAGAGCATGCACTAAGATCGCCTTTCTTTGGAAGCTTTATGAGTAGTCCCTCCTTCCACTCCTCTGGTATTTGTTCATCTTCCCAGATTTTCTTGAAGAGTGTGTATCGTAGAGTGGTGCTAGTTTCTATATCTGCTGTCAGTGCTTCTGCCGGTATACCATCTATTCCTGGAGCCTTCCAATTTTTCAGCTGCTTTATAGCTCTATGTATCTCTTCTTTTGAAGGTGGTTTGCAGTCTATAGGGAGGTCACTTTCAGCTGGTGGTATGTCTTGCGTGCACTCTGGTGTTGGTCTATTCAGTAGTTCTTCAAAATGTTCTACCCATCTCTTCATCTGTCCTTCCGCATCAGGTATTGTCTTTCCATCTTGGGTTTTCACTGGCCTCTCTGGCTTACTGTACTTACCAGATATCTTCTTAATTGTATTGTACACGTCCCTAATATTACCATGGTACAGTGCTTCTTCCGCTTCTCTTGCCAGCAGTTCCAAATAGCTCCGTTTGTCTTTCCTTATGTGTTTCTTGACATTTTTGTTCGTTTCGGTGTATTCTTCCAGTGCTTTTAATTTCGTAGCCCGTGTGCGGCTGTTGTTTAATGTTGCCTTCTTTCTTTTTCTCTCTTCAATAATTTTCATGGTATCTGCTGATATCCATTCCTTCGCTTGTCTTTTGATAGGGCCTAGCACTTCTTCGCATGTTGATGTTAATATACTTTTAGTTTTTTCCCATGTTTCCTCTATCGTCTCTTCTTCTATTAGTTCTTGTAGTACCTGGAACAATTGGACATATGAAGTTTAAATTCGTTGAGTTTAGATGGGTCCTTTAGCAGGCCTGTGTTGTACCTGTATTTCCTTTTGTTTTCCAACATGTTTTTCTTCAGCTTGAGTTTTACTTTAGCTACCAGTAGGTGATGGTCTGAAGCAACATCAGCTCCTCTCTTGACGCGTACATCCTGAAGTGATCTCCTGAACTTTTTATGATACATATATGGTCTATCTGGTTTTAATATAATATTGATACAATATTGATATAATATTGGTATAATATAGATATAATATTGATATAATATTGATATAATATTGATATAATATTGAAATAAATATTGATATATAATATTGTTTTTAAAATTTATATAATATTTATATAATATTTATATAATATTTATATAATATTTATATTATATTTATTTTATATTTATATAATATTTATATAATATTTATATTATATTTATACAGCTCCAACGGATTCTGATTCTCCTTATGGTAGGTAAAAAACGGATATTTTAAATATTGCCTTTTATTTATTTTTTACTCGGAATGTACTGTTTATTAGTTTATTTCTTTTAGTCAATACCAGTTTAGTCAATCTTTCCGTTTCCGGAAAAGCTTGGGATATTATAGCCGATCACTTTTGAATCAGACGCGTTCGTTGGCTCTATCATGTCAGCGCTTTAGTGCATACCTTTGTTTTCGATAAGAAGAGTTATTATAGTCCTTCACTATATTGAATCCGGGCGTCTTTCTTCACGCTGACAAGGTGCTATTGGGCGCCATGGCCTTACGGTGAGCGCTATTGCGTATACGATCGGATTAGTGAGTTAAACAGACTAACGATAAGATGGGTATTATAGTTGTTTAACAAGTTGTTTCAGGTGGGTCTTCCGACGCCTCGGTAAGGTGCAATTTGGCGACCCGTGCTATATTGTGAGAACTATGCGTTTATATTTACATTAAAATTTGTGTTTATGTTCTGTGTTATTGATTGCGTTAATGTAGGCATTTGCGTCTGTATTTTAGTTTGGGTTTGAGTTTTTTATGTGTTATGGTTGCGTTTGTGTTTGCTTTTTTTTTTGTGTTTGCTTTTATGTTTGCATTTGTGTTTGCAATTGTACTTATGTTTGCGTTTTCTTTGTGTTTGTATTATATTTGTGTTTGTTTTTGTGTCGTTTTTTCTTTGTTTTAGTTGGTTGTGGTTAGTGTTAAGTTTAAAGTTAGAGTTCATTGCCGGTTATATGATGCTTAATAAACACAAAAGTCATGGTCCTTTACAGAAAATGATTCACAGAGGTCAGTGCATGACTTTGCCGGTATGGCAAGTATATATATATATATATATATATATATATATATATATATATATATATATATATATATATATATATATATATATATATATATATATATATGTATACATATATATTTATAGGTCCTTGAGAAATTATCTCCGAATAAAATATATCACGGACAAATGACCTGCGCGACAAACGATCTCAGACAAAATGTCTCACAGCAAAATAGTTATAATATTTAGACTTACTTTAAAAAACATCAAAAAGTTTTTTAAATTTAATTTTATTATTGTAGATTTTTAGGGAATTATTGTTTTCGTAATGAAATTACATTAAAAGCAGTGTTTCTTTCAGACTTTTTTTCTCCAGGGAAGGGGGGAGGCACTTGTAATGTTCGTGAGGTGGGGTGGGCGGACACTGGTAAAAGTATTTATTATCTATTTAAATTCTATTTCTTCCGGTGGGGGGGGGGGGGGGGGGTTGGGGCGGGAGACGTAGACCCCCAAAGAGATGACTGGAAAATACTATGAACCCTAGCAGCGTTAATTTGGTTTTTTTATTTCACTTATACATGTTCTATTTAACGTATGTTATTTTATTTACCTTGTATGAGTAATTGCTTTTAAAAATGAATATTTTAAATTTAATAAGTCTTTTGAAGAGAAATCGGGCTTACACTGTTCCTTTGTCATATGTATTTATAGTTACATTACACACTGAATTTGTATTGAAAAAAAATTATCATTGTTTCCTAATTTTTATCTTGTAATTTTTTAAGGAGACTGTGTTCCGTTAACAAGTGAAATAATTAAAACCCGAAACGTAACATCAGCCCTGGTAATGTATTAAAAGTGCATACCTATACCCATATTACTGTACTTACTAACATCAATTTACATCCTAATACATATCCATAGGTATCTGAATATACAACTATGGTTTATTTTAGACGATCCAGATTCCCGTTCGGACATAGTCGGTCGATTGCTTTGCACGACACAAACCAATATTCAATAAGTCCGTCCCAAACACTATAGTCTTTTAACCCCAAATCAATCCCAGTTATTTAAACTATCATTTATGACTTCCGTTTGAAAGAAAAGAGAGGTGTGGGGGGGGGGGGGGCTGGGTCACTGTGTACTCTTGCAGAAATGGAGATCGATTTAGGTTGACTAAGAAGTAACTTTTACACAGCAAAAATAAGATTGGCATAATAAAATCAAACGTAAAAAAACATATTAGTAATAATATTTTCGCTCTTCTGTCAGTCATTCTGGAACTATCTAGAAAAACATAAGCAATATAAAACACCATATAACTTTTGTATTTGTATCTGTATCTGTATCTGTATCTGTATCTGTATCTGTATCTGTATCTGTATCTGTATCTGTATCTGTATCTGTATCTGTATCTGTATCTGTATCTGTATCTGTATCTGTATCTGTATCTGTATCTGTATCTGTATCTGTATCTGTATCTGTATCTGTATCTGTATCTGTATCTGTATCTGTATCTGTATCTGTATCTGTATCTGTATCTGTATCTGTATCTGTATCTGTATCTGTATCTGTATCTGTATCTGTATCTGTATCTGTATCTGTATCTGTATCTGTATCTGTATCTGTATCTGTATCTGTATCTGTATCTGTATCTGTATCTGTATCTGTATCTGTATCTGTATCTGTATCTGTATCTGTATCTGTATCTGTATCTGTATCTGTATCTGTATCTGTATCTGTATCTGTATCTGTATCTGTATCTGTATCTGTATCTGTATCTGTATCTGTATCTGTATCTGTATCTGTATCTGTATCTGTATCTGTATCTGTATCTGTATCTGTATCTGTATCTGTATCTGTATCTGTATCTGTATCTGTATCTGTATCTGTATCTGTATCTGTATCTGTATTTGTATCTGTATCTGTATCTGTATCTGTATCTGTATATGTATATGTATCTGTATCTGTATCTGTATCTGTATCTGTATCTGTTTCTGTATCTGTATCTGTATCTGTTTCTGTATCTGTATCAGTTTATGTATCTGTATCTGTATCTGTTTATGTATCTGTATCTGTTTATGTAAATGTATCTGTTTATGTATTTGTATCTGTTTATGTAACTGTATTTGTATCTGTATCTGTTTCGTATTTGCATCCGTATCTGTATTTGTATCTGTATCCGTATCTATATCTGTATCCGTATGTACATCTACATCCGTATCTACATCTACATCTACATCTGCATCTTCATCTTCATCTACGTCTACGTCTACGTCTACGTCTACGTCTACGTCTACGTCTACGTCTACGTCTACGTCTACGTCTACGTCTACGTCTACGTCTACGTCTACGTCTACGTCTACGTCTACGTCTACGTCTACGTTCCCGTCTCCACCTCCACCTCTACCTCCACCTCCACCTACACCTACACCTACACCTACACCTACACCTACACCTACACATACACCTACACCTACACCTACACCTACACCTACACCTACACCTACACCTACACCTACACTTACACCTACACCTACAACTACACCTACACCTACACCCACACCCACACCCACACCCACACCCACACTCACACCCACACCCACATCCACATCCACATCCACATCCACATCCACATCCACATCCACATCTACATCTACATCTATATCTATATCTGTATCTGTATCTGTATCTTTTTATGTTTCTGTATTTGTATCTGTGTCTGCATCTGTCTCTGTGTATGTGTCGTTGACTGTATCTGGATCTGGATCTTACTGTTTATATGCTTCTGCGTATACGCTTGTGTTTGTGTATGTTTCTACGTCAAAATAGAACACTTACTTAAAGTTAAACTATTTTTTTTGGCACAGAAATGCTACTCAGTTTGTAGGATAGAACAATGCTACTCTTTCAAGTTTGCCAATGGTCTGTGTACAATCAAGCTCTATGCCGGGGAGCCTGTAGATTTTAGTCAAAATGTAGTTGCTGGATCATTTATCTCATGCTACAATGAAAACTGTAAGTGTTTCGTTGTGTAAATTAGTTTTGCTAAGCGTAATATAAAATCCTTAACTGGGCTTTCCTAATATGACCTGAATTGACAGAACTTATGCTAAAGAAATAATACCCATACTCATACTAGTAACTCTACCCGTTGTTGGTTTCTTCATTGTCTAGGGGCATACATATAGCAACAGAAAAATACAACGTATACAACAGTAGATAACAATAACACTCTATAATAATAATAATAAGAAATGTAATATATATACAGTAATAAAATAATAAAAGATCGAAGGGGTCTACAACATACATAACAATACTCAACACCACGTTCCACGTCCACAGCCACGTCCACAGCCACACTACAACTAACTGTTTACACACTAGCACACGCTCTGACACCCGTCACTTGGCACACCTCAACCAAGGGATACAACTATACACCAAAGGGAGGGTACCTGTCGTTCCAGCACACAACACACTTACACACAAGCAGGGGAAATGTAAGGGACGTAACACCCGTCGTCGTTACTTATACCGTTTAACTTAGCTTAAACATTATCGTCAATTTCAAAAGTAAACAGCGATTGTTGTCTTCGCAATGCTGAGCTCTGTAAAATGATCTCGAAAAACCACCACCTCTTTTACGGACGGGTTTTTAAATCTTTAAAAAAAAAATTGAATCTATTAAGTCCCAGAAATAGCATAATTTTAATCAATTTTTTTTACAAGGACAACAGATTAAAGTTATAAGCAAACTTGACCTTGTGTTGTTGTATAAATGTGATATGTATCCTTTTTTTTAAAAAATTGCATGAAAAGTTAGAGTTCGATCTAAAGTGGTTAAAGAAATGCTAATTGTAGACAATTGTAAAATTTGTAGCCTGCGTAAAAAATATTTAAACTATTTCTTTTGTCTGATCGTTTTGATAGTGTATTAAAAAATTGTTTTTCTGTGTATGCATTTTAAATGTACATTTTTATGTAGCACAGTGCACTTTAAAAAGCGATGTAGATTCTTACATACCCCTCACTGGCGAGCCTCACGAGGTAAAGTTATGTGTTTTTGGACATACACACTTTAAATAAATCTAGATGTTTAAGAACGTCATTTAAAAAGAATTATATCAGAAAACTGTAAAGTGACAAGATAGAATATAAATTTAATCATTCAATGTCGATTCATGATTTTGAATTTAGAAATAATTGATTTTTATATCTATTTTGAGGTTTTATATTTTTATCTATTTACAACCAATATCCAATTATACTTAAATTTAAACTTATATTTTAAATATGGGGTTCAGTTTAAAACTTGTTTGGTAAGGTTTGTACATCCTTTACTTTGTTTGCTTGTGTTTTTTTTTTTAGTTTTGTCTAGTCTAGCCCTTCGATTCATTGATGGTGTCTTCTTCTTTCTTAATTCTACTGCACGGGATATCCTCCTACATAATGACTCTGACTTCATCCAACTTTTCATTCTGGATTTGGCACCATAGCCTGTGCCCGCCCAAGAACAAACTACTTGACTGTTAAGCAACCACGAGCTTTACCGACAGGACCACGCCAACCCATATAATAGTGTCTGACCAGAGAATGTATTGAACTCTTCTTTGACAGCTGTTGGTGAATGTCTGTACATTCTCGGTGGTAGTTTAAGATGAACACCTCTCTGTTCCCATATATTTTTATGTTCAGGAAGGCAGCCTTAGCTTAATCTGTCCTTGCTACGCTTGGTAACTCCTTCTGATCTAGACTTAATTTATCAATACCTCTCTGTTCCCGACAGCAAATCAAAGCATAAATATTAATGGAGGGGGTGGGGGGGGGCTTGGAGTGGTCGGGCGGGTAATCTCATGTTTGCTAACCCGTAAAATTTTGAGTTTGAACACTCGGGCAGTTGAGACTCGTTATATATATATATATATATATATATATATATATATATATATATATATATATATATATATATATATATATATATATATGTGTGTGTGTGTGTGTGTGTGTGTGTGTGTTTAAGAAAGCTCTACTTATTCAGCTTTTTTTCATACAAACAATACAACAAAATTTCTTTCTCTTTCTTTATTTACCCATGTCTTGAGTTATCTCTTCTATATTTGGGAATTATAATCTTAGCCTTACTATTGATTTAACTTTTCATCTTCTGAGGATGTTTTTGCACTTCTCTTACAGGATTGTTTTTACTATTGCCTTGGAGATCCCGATTGTATCGGCTATAAATATTTCCCTAAAAGTTCTTGTATTAATACTTATACGGTTGGATCCACTGTTGACATAAAGAACTTTCCGGTGGACACATTTGTCTATCTTAAATGTGATAAATGTGAGTGTTAGTGGTTCAAATTTTACCTTTCATAAAATTAACTTATTTTGTTTTTTATTTTAAAAATTGCATTACCAACACTATTGATTAAATGATAAATATTATTTCATGTGTAACACCTTTTATAATTGTAAGCTTATGTTTTATAGGTTTCGAGAAAAATAAACTGATTTTAATGAAAATTGTGTTATACCATAGAAAACAGTTGGGGAAGACACGTCTAAACAGAAAGCAACAATGTACTGCCGGAGACTCGACATTTGTCGAATGAACTGCTTAGACAACTTGTATATATATTGGAAACTGTTGAATAAAGACTTCCATTCTCATCGTAGTGTCCTCTTTTAATTTTTTTAGTCATTGATACAATTAAGAATGTAGAATCGTGTAAGAAATATGCAGGTGTGTGTTCTTAAAAAATAGTGTTTAATGTACAATGCAAAAGTTACAGAATACACTATATGTATGTTTAAGTAGACTTGTCGGTCTTTGTTTCCCGGCTTTTATGTGCGTGATAATGTGGGAAGAATATTCGGCTCTTTATTGAATAACATTTTGTGAAGTAAGTTATGCATTTATAAGAGATGTTTCTTTAAAGACATTTTTTTAAAAATATGTACCTACTATATAAAAATATATGCTCGCCATGATGAATACACATTAATCATAATGAGTTGATAAATATATCAAAGAAATCCAATGATAAAATCTTTAAATAGTCATATACTATTTTGGATTACAAAAGTACAATTGTTAAAACTTACGAATTTAAGAATGGCTCTGTCTAAACTATATTAGCAGTATGTTGATTAACTTGTATGACCCTCCATAGCAACACAGAGTCATTAGACACAGCTTGGGTGAATGACAGATTGGATGTCATTGTGTCTGTACTGCAGGATGTCAAATACGGATAAAAGTTTGTTTTAAAAGACAAAGATTGTGTGACTGACAGATGGGTTGTCATTATTTCTGTACTTCGAGTTGTCAAACATTAGTGCTGGATAAAAATAATATATTTCATTATCATAATATCTTGGTGTATTTAAATTTAACGTTGTGCCTTTTTTAAGGTAGCTTAATTTATAAAATTATTGATTTCTTAAATAAAGCAATATATGACAGTATGTGTTAAATAAAAGTTAGTTGAATAAATTATTTAACCGAGTAGAATACGTAATTGTAATGTTATCTGAATGTTTGGCCAATACTTACACATTATATTGTTTTTGGCTATGTTGAAAGATTCAATTTTGTTTATTATATTAAACTGGGTTAGTGGTCAAATGTAAATTTCGTCTATCTATAAAAATTATTACTAAAGCCATTCGCTTTTGAAAAAAAAAATTAGTGGGATAAGATCATCTTCTGGTTACCGGAAATTGCTGAAAAGTTAATACAGAAATAAAAATGTAATACACAGACACACAGAAACACATTACAGACAAGATTGAAAAATTAAGTTTTTCCAACTCAAATAGGTCTAAAACGTCGATTGTTTACACGTTTACAATACTTCCTCTATACTCCGTATATACGAGAAAGTAAATATGTTGAAGACACGAATAACGATACTCAATAATTAACACAAAACCAATTGCCTCACACCATAGCACACACTCTGGTTACAATTCTCGCGTGAACACTTATCGTTCAATGTAAACACACTCTTTAACCAAGGGTACCTGTCATTCAAACACACAACACACAATCAGCGGACGTTACAGTGATAAATCTATACTTTGCAATATCAGGTTTAAAAATAAAACTGTAATTAGATGTTTTTTTTTTTTAAATTTTCTATCATTAAACCATCTTCAATGAATGATAGTACATGTCACAATGAAGTATTACTATTATAAATATGTATCTGTCCTTAAAAGCCAATGATGAAAACTGTAATACTAAAGCGAACATAACAAGGTAAATTGGCGCTGAATTGCATGCCTGAGGAAAACATGCCTTAGTAACATCAACGTCAGATCCGATGTTTATTAACAAAGATCAAGTTTTGTTTAAAACGCTCTGTTCTCATTACAGCGGTGGGATCGAATCATTTATCTATTGCCCTTGTTATTGAATTGTGTAAAAAATTAGATCGGATAGATTAAATAATGTCTGATGGAGTAGGTAAATCCTGTATTAGTTATTGTGGTAAAAGCCTCATCACACATCATGGGTGACAGGACAAATGATCTCAGACAAAATATCTCAGACAATATATATATATATATATATATATATATATATATATATATATATATATATATATATATATATATATATATATATATATATATATATAAAGCAATGTATGTCTGTGTGTTTGTGTGTCCTTTATGCATTACTACACCTCTAATCAAACTTTGGGAAGTTGTTGAGAATATTCCTGGGGAGGTTTCTGCGAAAAAAAATATTTCGAATTCGCAGGGGTGGCGCCCCCACAGGGCGCGATTTGTTTTTTTTCAATATACGGTGTATAAAAATAAAAGTCGATTTTGGTTTGGCATCGTTCATCCTATAGCCATCAGACTTTGGGGAGTTCATTATACCACTCTACGGAAGGGTTCTGTAAAAAAATAATTTTTAATTTCGCAAGGGCGGCGCCACGGGAGGGTCCGATTTTTCTCTATATAGTATATAAAAATAATAAAAGTGAATTGCAGTGACACCATTCATCCTATAGGCATGAAACTTTGGGGGTGTTGATTAGGACATTCTGGGGAAGGGTTCTGTAAAAAAAATCCTTTTTTAATTTCGCAAGGGCGGCGCCACGGGAGGCTGCAATTTTTCTCTATATACGGTTTATAAAAATAAAAGTCTATTTCGGTTTCACATCGTTCATCCGTGTACCATGAAACTTTGGGGAGATGATTAGATCACTCAATGGTAGGGTTCTGCGAAAAAATATTGTTTAATATTGCAAGGGCGGAGCCCCAAGGTGGTGAGGGATTTTTTCTCTATACACGGTATATAAAAAATAAAACTCGGACGCGGTTCATCCGAGTGCCATGAAACTTTAGGAAGCAGGCCTAAATGAGTATACTCCCAAGAATATTTCTGCGAAAAAGAAAACTAAAGTTTCTTATGGGCGGCGCCATTTAGGGTTGAACTTTCGTCAATACACGGTTTGGCGCCCAGAGTTTTAGAGCGACTATGTTGGCACTTGGCACGCGTTAATCGAGCGTCCTGCATAGCGAGTAAGGGGTACAGTAGCGTAGCGAGGGAGGGGGGGGGGGGGGGGCGGGGGGGGACATATGTCCCCAAGCGCCGATCTTAGGGGGCGCCAAAATGGGTTGGAAAAATAAATTGAAAGGTTGAGGGGGGTGAAAATCGAAAGTTTGAGGGGGTGGGGGTGCAAATAGAAATCTCGATGGGGGGTGCAAATCGAAAAGTTTGTCCCCGGGTGCCGGGAAGGGTCGCTACGCCTCTGAAGGGGTACTACTATATTCAGCGGTAAAACTACAACAGTCTTCTAAAAATAACTTTGTAACGCGAGGAAATCCTTCTGTACAGTTTCGTCACCTTGCCAAAGATGAAAAAATAACTTTTTGAATATGAGGAGCCTACTGTAGAGTTTCGTCACTTTGCGAATGATGCAATAAGCATCTACTATTAGACAATCCAGTCAGAAATTAAGATCGATCATCTAAAAATAGACCATTAGTAACGCTAGCATATTGCATCAGTCACACTGATGTTTAAAACATGTCAAATACTTTTTTACGTGTTAAAGAAAAAAAGCCTGTTCATTTGTGGCACTTTAGCGAATGATGAAATCTGCATCATTATTAACAGGATGCTATTTGGCACGATGGCGCCTATTACTTTTAAGGAGCCAGCGGTCGTACGCCGCGTCTATGCGGTAGTGTAATCGGGGGGGTGGGGGCTGAGAGCGCCCCTGTACGTCTCTGACACATGGGCGGTCACCGAAGTGTGTTCTAACATATTATTTCGGAGAGTGATTAATGTACACTCAATGTTTACATGCGGTAGTGTAGGTAAACCTGTGTCCTAATATTTATGTTTTAAGCGCAGGCATTGTTTACATTTAAATAACTCACTTTTAGAAAAGACGGTCACGCGTCTAAGAACATATGATTGGTAACGCGTTGGTGAAATCTTTCTAATACATTTCGTCATACTTTCTTCTATCCCCGCGGCAACGCGCGGGGGACGGGAACGCTAGTATATATATATACACTGAGTTTTTCTATGAATTTATTTCTATATGCTGAGACCATCGTTATGAAAAACAATTAGCGCAGCTGGAAATAAATTATGAGCGTACAATACAATAAGGCAAATTACAAATGCTTTTGTTTAATGGTTATCAGATATTTTGAGTACGTCTATAAGAATATATCACCCGCACGACCTAGTTTAAAAACCTAACGTCTTTTCTTGTTCAAATGAAATATTTGATGTTATTAATTAACATAACGCTACCACAGCATAATTCGATTAATGAAATAAAAGGTGTTCTAACATATGTTGACATATATATATATAAACATATACTTACACACACACACACATATATATATATGTATATATATATATATATATATATATATATATATATATATATATATATATATACATATATATATATATATATATGTGTGTGTGTGTAAGTATATATATATATATATATATATATATATATATATATATATATATATATATATATATATATATATATATATATTCCGGTTAAATTTGAAGTTGAGTTGATGACTTTAGTTTTGGTTTAGCTAACCCTAACCCTAACCCTAACGCCCCAAGATGCCTAAAAAAACTCTGGTAACCTTTGAATGACAAAGGTCAGCTTAGACGTAAGATTTAGGAGTATGATCTGCGACTATATTTATTATGAATGTGCATCAAAAAGTGTTGATAAAGGTTAACAGATCAAGTATTTAGGATGAATAATTAATCTATACCAGCTTTACAAAATCAGTAATCCTCATTTAACTTCGAGTTAAATCAGCTTTCGATAACGAGTTGATAGGGATCGGTTCATGTGAATAAATTTTCCCCACAAAATTAAGCATTAGCTTTAAAAGTTTAACAAAAGTCTAACCTTAATGTCTTAGAGGACTAGAATTTTCTCCGACCCAAGAGTTGCGCTCCTCTGCGGTTTAGAAACGAGTGAAGTCCTCTGGGCGGCAGTGCGACATTTCAATATCAAACCGTTATCGTGCGGATGATTTCGATTGTATGAGTTTAGCGGGTCACGTGTTGTAATGTATTT